TAAGTGGTACGAGTAATCTTGAAATTAAGTGTTGCAAGCAGAAAGTCTTTATTAGATGTAAAATTCCCCATTCTGCTAGTGTATTAAGAAATTCATTAAAATGCGTAGCGCTGGCACGAAGTTGTCTTCTTGATTGCGCAAAATATCAAGTTCATTATTTTTGTGAGGAATGTGTATACGTACGTATGTATTTATGTATGTATGTACATATCAATGCTTCGTTTTAAACAAGCAAATGTCGTTGAATTGTTTTTGAAATACAGTATCATGACTTCGGCAACCCATCAAACATGCCTTCAGCAACAAATGAAATGGCTTTCAGCAACAAGTCAAACGACTTCTGGACCAAATGAACTGCGGCGTCTTGCTTCGCCAACCGTCCAAATGAGCTCTCGTGCTTGCGGTAACCGTCCAAATGCAGTATCGTGCTTTCGGCAGTCGATCAAATACGGCGGTTGCTGGTTTCGTGCACGTTCACTCGGAATACTGTTTTGCCGAAGTCAATATCAGTATGAGCTGTTATAAGTATCGCTCACTTGTGGTGGCTGTATTTGCAAGCACTGTACGCTATGCGCTGGTGTTCGTTCATCCCCCTTTTTTAATGTGAACAGGCTTACAGTCACAAAATCAGGTTCGTTTGCCAGTCTCTGATGTGTACATGCCACTTTTTACATATGGAAATGCCAACATATCGTGTAAAGGCAAATTAGATTTGTTTCACACAGAAATGTTTCTATTTTCATCTGACACACAGATACAATCATCTGAGTTTAGTTTATTTCGTTTTCAAAGAACGTGTTTTTAAATAGTGTTTTAAAGACTGTGAATTTGACAGACATACGCAATTAGTACATATGTATTGGAAAAATCACATTTACAGATGAAAATACATATCGTGTAAGAACACCTTTAACAGTTCACTTTTGATTTTTGTTATGAAAATCGACTGTTAACTTCTGAATGTAAATGAGAACTCTCCATTTTTTTTTCTCTGCTTTCTTGGTAGGGGACCTTAGCGGTCCCAAAAAAAAAAACAGGTTATTCCTCCGTGCTTGATATTCTCTTTAGTGTAGCATTGAAGTTGCCAAGTAGAAAAACATTCTCATTTTGCTCAAGGAAATTTAAGGTTCTGATAAGTTCTGTATTAAAGTCATGTGTGTTTATATTGGGAGGAAAATACATATGTATTGCAAATGGTAATGCTGGTACTGAGATTTGTGGTTTTGATTATTAAGACATCATGATCGGAGTTAAAGGTCATTCCTTTATATTTTTAACTATGTTTAAGGACAGTCGCCACTCCCCCACAATCATCGTTACGATATTTTTTAATCAAGTTGATATTTGTCCAGTACTGCTCGCCATAATTTGTGGACGGTGTTATTTAGTGCAAATGTAACTCGGACTTATATTAATTATCTAGTTCAAGATGGCTCCTCGACGAGTACGGTCGTGCTTACGTGTCGAGTTCTGTTAAAAGCAAATATCTGATTAGTATACACACAAAAATGAAGTCGGCTCATTAAATATAGCATTAAAAGTTTTAAAACAAGAGAAGTTAATACTACAAAATAATAATTACATAAGTAATGTAATAGACGTTGACATCAAGAAAATTGATACTAAAATTAAATGAACATACATAACTGTTCCACAAAACGAAACAGAAAATTTTTCAATCACATAAAATTAAATAATTGGAGGAATAACCTCGCGATATGAGGACACATGTAGTTCCCTGCCATTGAAATACAATAAATTACCAAATTGGGGGGAATAACCTGGCGACATGAGGACTTAGTTCCCAGCCATTTAAATTTCAATCTGAAAAATTACATTCTGACATATAACCAATAATTAAAGGAATAACCTGGTTACTTGTGGACCATTAAATACACAATACACTTTTTAATTTGATATAATTGACAACGAATTGAATGGAATAAGACGTATGATACATATATGAGCCGAAACTTTTGCAGTGGTTCTGGCCCTCAGCGGTATTACCATCGTGTATCAGTGGAGCGACGTTTGGACACAGCATTTGGAAAATAACATACTAAGATATATATTTTGAAAGCAGAGGATGAACCTGGCGGTAGTTTTACATTAACTAGCCAACCTACCCAAAGCCCAAAAAGTTAAAATTTGTTAATTTTCTGTTAGGAGTTGTGCAAGTAAGAAAGATTTCATTTAGGCAAGCTATGTCGATTTTGTGTTTGTTTAAATAAAATTCTATCGGGAGCTTTTGAGTGACTGGCAGTTATATAGAAGAATTTTCATGGTATATTGAGAGGGAATGAGGGGCTTCTTGTATTTTTTGCTCATCTCTGTTGTTAATTTTTATATGAAATTGGTTTTTGACTAGTTGTATTTCTCTAAAGTTTTGTTGGTCGTTTTGTTCAATGGAAATTTTTTGCGTGATTTTGATCAGTTGAGACATGAGTCTTTCCATTTCGGAGACAATGCCTTTGTGGTAAGAGGGGCAATTTATTGCTGGCATGTGAGTGCTACCTCTAGCCTTTTTAACTGATGCATTAGTGTACGATTTTAAAGGCCTTGGTGGGGTATATTTGGCTACAGTACTAAATTTACGCTATGTAAAAGATCTGTTTACATTTATGTCTTTGTTCGCTACAGTTTCCGCATCACCGTATAGGGCTGGAAAGTCTGCGTCATCATTCTCTAAAATGTCGAATCGGTTGGTTGATTTGGGATAATAAATGTAAATAATGGACCTCTTTTCTAGTCAGTTTTTTGATAGCCTTTGACCGACTTGTCAACATGTCCCTTCCTGTCACAAATAATGCATTCATTTCTATCGCAGTTCTCCCTATTACATTCATTTTGTCCGCATTTTAGGGTCGCATTACATAAAAAGGTATTCATCAGAAATATCATTTGACAGTTCGGCCTATCCTACTATGGCATCGCCTCGATGTCATCTGCGGTATCATCTTCCTACTTAATATCGTCGTCATCTATGGTGGGCGGTAGTGCACACCAAGGTTTCATTCGATCAGATGTATAAATGGTACTGAACCGTTTCTGTTTTACGCTGCATGCCGTCGATGTCTTCAATCAGATATCTATCTTTACCAATCACCTTGGTGACAACTTATGGACCACGATATCGTGCATCCAAGTAACGCGATTCTCCAGTGGATTGCGTAATTTACTCCACAGCAAGTTACTAGTGGATAATGCATATATTCATGTTGCGTCTTTATTATCCCCGGTAAAGTCAAAGCCAAAACAGGTGTTTGATCAATTTTGAAACCGGCTCTTGCGTTTTCTCTAGCCCTTTCGAGCATAGCTGCTAAGTTGTTCGACATCGGGTCAGTTATTAATTAAGTTGAGAGATGGAAACACTGATAAAAATCAATTTTAAATAATTTTAAAATATCGTTAATTTGTGAAGTCGCCCATGAGAATTAGTGTGGGCCTCTAAAAAAATTTTCAATTCTGGTTATCTCTTAAACTATAATTTTCAAGGCATGTGATGACTTTGGGGATATCCTTTCCCTCGAAAAAAGAGTAGGAACACACCTACCATTTTCATTCTTCCTATTAAATCGCCTAACCGAAGCTATTGGAACGCTTGGCATTGCTTCCTTTGCGATTTCTTGTTCACTAAAACAGATTGGGAGCCCCCTAGTAACACCATAGCTTTAAAGCGCCGTTCTTGGCACAAAAGCTCTTAAACTACAATTTTCAGTGCATTTATCAGATAAAAAATTGTTAGCGGCATAAGTATTCTTGCAGGTGACTTTTTACAGGGACCTTCCTAGAGCATAAAAAAAGGCTAGGTCTTTGAAGCGCAGATCTTTAATCTGGCTAAAAAGCTCACAACCTGTCGTCACTTTGTCGTTCGCCATCACTGTGCTAGCCAGAGGTGTCGACAAGCACAAAAATCTTTATTGAAATATTGCGGATAGCTGATCATGCCGCCATTTTCATTTTCTTCCTCCGCCTTTGGCACAACTGTACCACCACGTGCTACATTCTTACTACCCCCTGATCCAAAACCACTTTCACCTAACCTCAATTCAACCTCACAATCTACACCTATCTCAGATTCAGTCAAAATATGTTTCTCATGCGATCCTTCTAACCAGACCATTGTCAGAAAGCTCGTAGAAACCTGTGATATCTTCACTTTCTACAATTTTCGCTTTTTTACAGGTATTTCCTTCTGCTGCAGCAAGTGAGTCCACCAACTTTCGAGACATCATATCGGCCATTTGCCGCGCAATTTCCGATACAATCGCAGCTAGTTTACGGGGTACTTACTTTATCGGTACGTCTATTTATAACATAGCTGTACGATTTTTTGGTGAAATTCCTATCCATGTCCTTATCAATCACCGCATTTTTGTTTTTATCAAGACAGGGGAAGTTATCCTCCTGAGTATCCAAACTGTCCTTCCTTTGGGGTAGTATTTGTCTAAAACTTCTTTTTTTCTGGACATTTCTTTAACTGTTTTAATTCTGTTAATCATCTGTTCTTTTTTCCACTGCAGGCAGACATTTTTGCCCTTAGCAGTGTGTCTCATTTTTTCCCCACTAAGAATGCGCAGAGCTTCACTACACGCAGAGACCTTATATTCTGTGTTACGGCATTTCAAGCACCTTCCCTTAGTCTAGCACGAAAACTTGGTGTGCCCTAGCCGTCCGAAGTTATCACACTGCCTCAAGGAGGGTGTTGGGGTACTAGTTTGCACCCAAAAATTTAAGTTAAAAAGCTAAAACGCAAGAACTAGAAAATTTACAAAGTCCAAGTTGCAGGACGGCACACTAAAGCAAAACCAAGCGAACGAAAGTAAACGATGTTGCAGCGTGGGTGTCACAAGTATATTGAATTCAAATTTTACATAAATTAAATTACAAGCTAAGTTTGAGTATGCATATAATATGTATGTATGTGCGTATGTATGCATGCACTGGAAGGCCACGCAGGGCTGCATTAAAATAGTAATTCAATTTATCATGATCTGAAATTAGATACAATACATTCAACTAATACAAATTCAATAACTTTAAGCATAAGCATGCATAAATACTTATATACATACATAAGTACACACATATTTAGTGTGGATCAAAATTCAATTAAAGTACAATTCATTAACAAATTAAATTTCATAGAAAGTGATAAACACTACTGTGCTGACCATCGGTCTTCAAGTAGTGTTATTTGGAAGCAGCGCTAGCTTGTGAATGGCACGCCGATAAATGCCCGTCGTTGTTTTAATGTCCGCCACTCGCACCTTACCGTCGGCGCCAGTTTTTATATCTACTACTCCACCAGTGAGCCACTCTTTATGAGGCAAATTCTCTTCGTGTATTATGACCAGGTTGCCGATTTCGATGTTGGGTTGCGGCTTGGCCCATCGCGTTCTGGTCTGAAGACCCAGGATGTAATCCCGTTGGAATTCTGACCAGAATCTTCCCTTCAGGTATGATACTCGCTCCCAGCGATCTGAATATGTCCAGTTGTTGGCTCTTGGCTGTGGCTCGGGAACGGCCATTAGGGAATCGCCTATTAATAAGTGTGCGGGCGTTATGGCTTCGCCGTCGTTGGGATCGTCTGATCCTACGACTGGACGAGAGTTCAAAATTGCCTCCACGCCGACGAGTACGGTGGAGAGCTCCTCGAACGTTAGGGCGGTGTCGCCTATTGTGCGAAGCATTCGGTGTTTGGCGCTCTTGACGGCTGCTTCCCACAGTCCGCCAAAATGAGGTGCGCGCGAAACTCCCCGACGACCGACGAACCTTTTAAAGACAGATAAAACTGCATTAGTGGATAAATCAGACACAGATTCTATGTGTACAGCTTTAGAATTAAAGCACACGAATATGGCAATGTAGCTTTTATAAGGAGGTCGGCCTCTTATTTTATGTGTTGTATAAACTGGACCACAGAAATCAACTCCACAAATAAGAAATGGTCGAACCGATCGCAACCTGTCTGACGGTAAATCACCAATTATTTGGTTCAGTAATTTGGGCTTGTATCTGAAACAAAGTATGCAGTTGTGTACTACTTTTCGCGCTAATTCTCTAGCATTTATGACCCCGAAAGTAGTCATGGGGACATAAGTGATGATGGCTTTATCCTTGCGCGTGAAGCGTCTAACAGCTGCAGTTGAAATGCTGCTTATGGCTTCCTTTACAATCTCCTGCTCACTGAATCATGTGGGTACTCCTCTAGTGACCTCATAACTTTCTAACGCTGTTCGTGGAACGAATGCTCTCAATCCTCTCTTTACAATACGTGTGTCAGATAAGAAACTATTTGCAGAGTAAGTGTTTTTAAAAGTCACATTGTAAAGTGACCTGCCTACTGCATAGGTGAAGTCCATGTGTTTAAATCGTAGGTCTTTAATTTGGCTAAAGAACTATAGACCTGTAGTCAGTTTTTCCTTATTCATGACTGTACTAGTCAATCTATATAATCTATGGAATTTATATTTTCACTGATTTTCACCAAACCACCGGAGGTCGAAAGTTCGTAAACAGTAAACGCGCATTTGCGTCATCCCTGTACGAAACAACAGTTTTAGCCCACCGAACTATACTAGTTTTTTGTCGGGTAATTGACCAAAAACAATCTCTTGGTCATTTATATAATGTGTCACATCCACACAAGTTTTTTTGGAGTAGAACCCCATCATCAAGGGAAAAGAGCATGAGATTCATGATAAAGGAGTTCTCCTCTAGGATGGATATATTATACTAGTGATGCTGTTTAATAATATCATAAGATCCATGAAGGTATGTTGGAACCAACAACGAAGAAGGGGGTTTTTGAGTATTGAGTATTGAAAGTCAGTCAACAGACTTTTATTGTACCAGTTCCAATTAGTGATGTTTGAATGAAATATGGCACGACTGACTGGTTGTGTCGCATGAATCCAGATAAATTTTCCCTTTCTTCCCATGACACTGATTTGTGGATCCCCCGTAATTAGCGTGGCTAAGTGATAAGGATTATGAATTAATTCTCGAGACAATAAGAAAGCACGCCTCTTCTCAAAGCAAGCTTAACGTTTTGCGTAGTAGGTCTCCTGTGTCAGTTGTGAAGATGTAGATTCTACCCTAGCAGAAACTTTGGAAACGCCTGAAGTTGTTTTGTCTTCTAGGTATTCCCATGCTGTTGATCTTGTCATTCAATGAAGCACTGTAGTATATATACTAACTTTTTGTCGGGTGGTTTTAACCAAAAACAATCAAACCTCTCTTGGTCATTTAGATAATGTGTCATATCCGCACCAGATTTTGGGCTCATAGACTCCACAGTCAATGGCTTCATTTTGTTTTATAAAAGAGTGAAAGGAACCGAGTTTCTTTTTATAGTAATGAGAGTTTAATAAAGGTTTATTTAAAATGATTGTATTTAATAAGAAAAGTTTGTACACGAAAGTTTTGTAAAAATATATTAAGCAACTTAAACGATGTTAACACGGCGGCGGCTATACTTCGACTCTCCTTGAGCAACATGAATGTTGCCCGATGAATGTTGAATGGACGATGCTGCCACTCAGTCAAACAAGCGTATATGCCGGTAGAGTTACCGTACAAGAGGGAATCTACTTGATCAAAGCCTTGAAGTTTTTTTTTCCTCTAGATAAACAATCCTTTGATATTCGGGGTATTCCCATATTGTTGATTTTGTGATTCGATAAAGCATTATAGCAGGCTCTTGGGTGTGTGAATGGTAGTAATTCTGGTCCAGAGAAAGCAAACTTTGTAAAGGAGGCGGAGGATTAGGATGAATATAAGTGTGGTTAGAAACAATCTTGAGGAAGCGGGTGTCCCTAGGTATCCTGTTGTGCCTTTTCTACTGGTTGGCCGCTGAAAATAAATCTTCTACGGCTGTGTTGGGTGTTATAGAAAATAGGTATCCAGTTAAGCTATGGAAAATTGTCTCTTTCTCTGATGAACATACCCCCTTCTATGACTTAAGCCGCAAAGGAAAGTTCCGTCCCTGTGGCTTCAACTATTAAGTACCTACTTGTTATCTTCCGTTAACCTCATTGTCATTACCAAACTGCTCAGTGGAATCAAATTATATTTATTGTAGTTGTATTGTTTATTGTAGTTGGAGGATCCCTTTAAAAATAATTATGAGTGAGAAGTTAGATCGTATACCAGCGTTGTCTCTGATTCAACACAATTATCGCTTTTTAAATGTTGGAGCAGCCGATGGTTTAATCTCCCCCTCACATCAACAGTTTTGGCCTCAGAACTTTACTAGCATTTTGTCGGGTGGTTAACCAAAAACAATCAAATCTCTCTTGATCATTTAGATAATGTGTCACATCCACACCAGATTTTGGGCTCATAGACTCTACAATAAATACCTTCATTTTGTTATAAAATAGGGAATCTACTTGTTTCAGATCGCACTAATACTATATACTATATACTGGTCGCCTGATGGCTGAGAAAAGTTATTTATTATTTTGCTTTCCTTACAAGCTACATTCTTATATTGCATAAATTCTTCCCGGTGATGAGGAGACTCTGATCTCTTCCTCTTATGACCCCTTGGTCAATCCATCTTTTGCCTCGGCTTGCTGCTGAGCTTGTGCACCTTGGAACGTACAGTGTAGACTCTTTCCTCTTTTATCAGCCTTGGACATACGAAGCTGGTATGCCTTGGACTGCCAGGACAACGGATGCAAGGCCCCAAATAGCAATTGTCTGCATTATGTCCACGCTTTAAACAATTCGGCCATAAGCGCCGTCTTTCCACGAAATCTTTCCTAGCAGTTGCATTTAAGTTACTAAATTCCGGACATTCCCAGACCGGATGGTCAGTTCACATGCCTCGCATGGCAGCTTCTTCACTTCTTCCTATCTTTCCACTGTCCTTTCCGCTTATTTTCTTTCCGCTGGCGAACGACATGACCTTCAAGGCACCATTGCTGCAGATCACCCGACCTGACGATTCACTGAAGTATTGCCAACAGCAGCCCCTTATTTCTCTATAAATGTCAATATTTCTTCCGGCTTTGGGAATTCAGAAGAGCGGTGTAACTCCCATTGCCTAGACGTTTCCGTGTCCAATCTGACATGTAGCATGTGCACGAGCATCATATCCGAAGAATGAACCGGTATCTTTAACGCTGCCAGCTGCCGTATAGCCGCATAGGTCACATTAGCCATTCTCTGCAAATCGTTTGCCCGCACTGGCGGTTGAAGCACCGGCAATCTTTCCACCTGCCGTATATACTCACGGCATATCTGGTAGGTTTTGTTATAAATCTGGTTCAGTCTTTCTCAAGCCTCGCTGTAGTTTCTGTCCGTGAGAAATGATTTCTTTAAATAGGAGAACATGTATGCGGGTGATATTTGGCTGTTGCCATGAACGGCTGTCATGAAACGATCGCAAAAGCCATGCCACTTGGAGAGCGTTCTGTCCAATTGACCCCAAGTATTCCTTAGATCGTGTTGCGGAAATTTCATTGTCGGTAAATTCATCATGTTTCCCAAATTGTAGTGCGAAGGTTGCTCGCATATAGTTCGATTCCAATTCCTGTGCTTTTGCAAGAGCTTTCGATAAATCACTTGGTGAAATTGAAAATAAAATATTTGATAAATTACCGTTTAGTCCCGTAATGAATATACGTAAAGCGTCGCGACAATTTTTAGCATTTAACTCTTTAGTCACTACACTGTCTGATCCGTATGTCATAATCGTCTTATTTATACTCAATACTCAATAATATGAGCCGGCCTTTGGTCAGCATAAGCGAAATCTAGTCGCGCTAAAATGGCTTGCTACTACAGCCTCAATCTCATTATTCAATATCATTTTCCCCATCCAGATTTATATTTAAACACTTCACTAATTAACGACACCTTTTTTTATAAGCACACTTTTCAGTTTCATGATTTCCTTCACAATATTCACAATAATAAAATGTTTCATATTTAGGACCACTTTGATTTTGTCCCATTTTAAAATTTACCATTCTTTTTTTTGCAATCCGAATCATTGCTACCGTTTCCGATTCTAATGTCTCTTTATTATAATAATCAGCTAGTATGGCTTTCTTATCCTTTCCTATATACTTAAATACAGCTTCCATACAGTTTATTCTTCCCTCGTCACTACGTTCATCAAAAAGATCCCTTTCTCTAAAAACCTTTTCCATGAATTCATCAGAATTCTTTTCTATTTCCAATTTTTTCACAATTCTATCTATTTCGTCATAGTCTAAGTCAGATGGTAGAGCATCTGTCATTTTACAAATTTTTTTAAATAAAATAGTATAAAATTAAATAATTCTTACATTAATTTTTGCTGCTTCAGCTCCTTGTTGCTGTTACTGTTGTTATCGACTTCCTGTACTTATTCCCAATGTAGTTATATTCCAAACTGACTCTGCTGCCACTGTGTTGTTGTTCTTGACACTGATGTTGAGTTATTTATTAATCTCCACTGCCACTTGGCTGTTAATCTTTTATCATAACTGTCTTTTTGTTAAGCACTTCCTCTTTCAATGAGGATATTTATTTAAAGTTTAAATTGTTTTTCTCCTACGGTGAGAATACTTGTTTAAAAGTTTTTTTTTGTTTTTTTTTCTCCTCCGGTGAGGGTACTTATTTAAGTACGTACGTCTGTTGTAAGACTGATACCAAACTGATCTTTATTACAAAAGAGTCTTATTTATATCTTAAAATTATGTTTACAAGATTTCTTAGTTGTAACTTCAAATTGTTCTTTTGGAATTTTATTATTGAACATATTAAGTTTCAGTATTTATTCAGCTGCAGTTATTTTGCAGTTGCAACTTTCATTAAGCCATTGTTTACTCAGTTGGTTGCTGGAAAAGGATATCAATTACATCTTCAATTAAATCAGTACTTTTCCATTGTTTAATTAGATTTCATCATATGAGTCAAACCAACAATATGACCAACTGCATTATTGGAAATTTGTTTATAATTGTCATTTAATTGGAAGGCAAAGGCTACTGTTAACTCGCATAATTGAATTTAGAGAGATATTTTTATTTGTTCTACATGAAGCGTCAAACACTACCCTTAGTTTGGTTGTGCTGCTATCTGACTTTAGAACACAATGGTGTGGTAAATAATATCTTGTGTCTAATTAACTTATATTTTTTATTTCTACCATATGTCCTAGGTTTTTCTACTCGTTCATAAATTGTTTTTACTGAGTTTTTATTTCATTATTACCTTTTAAACTTCTCTCTAAAGAGAAAAAAATCGTCTTTTTGCATGCAAAGATGAATCTCCTATGTCTACGTCTTCTGCTTTCAATGGAAGGCCTACTATAAAGTTACCATCTGCATCGATTTCAAAGTGTTCCTCACATTTTCTTTCCTCAATGGTTTGACCAACCATCTTATTTTCGATGGCTTCGATTTCCCAAAATTTCCTTAACTGGTCATTTATGAATTTTCCTGTATGAGTAACGACGACACAATGAACTAAATTTGATTCTTTATTGACTGATCGATATATATGCCATCCTAGGACGCTGTTTTGGAAGCGATATTTATTTTTGGTATGCTCCTGCTTTGATTTCACAATCACACTGTTTGCTTTTGGCTGCTTTTCGTTTTCTTTGTGAAGCATATAATAATGAATACCATCACATGCTCTACAATTATTATTCTTACATTCTTTAACACTGTGCCCAGGCCTTAAAAACTTGCTGCATAATTTATTTAAAATTACTTTGTCCCATCTTCCTTGGGTATTAAATTCTAAATATATATATATATTAAATTTCTGACAATAAAAAATAGGGTGGGAAGGGTTGCATCCCATTGTGCACCTTTTAAGTACTTTTTGCGGTTTAGATGACAACACTGAACTTTGTGCTGCTTCCAAGGCATTTCGTTCGTGATTCAGAAATTTTTGTAGTGAATCAAGGTCTGGTATTTCCATAGAATTCGTCAATGAATTCTCATATCTTAATCTTAGATTGTTGTCCAATTTTTGTACAAGTATATAACACAATAGTGCTTGTAACATTTCTTCATTGGACAAGCCGAGAGTTCCTAAAGCTTGTGCACTTTCAGAAAGCTTTTCCTGAAACGATCGTATGCTGAAAGCAGTCCCAATCACCACTGGTGTTTCTAAGATATTTTTAAAATATGTATTTGCCAGCAATCTTTTATTCGTAAATCTTTCGTTTAAAAGATTCCGGGCCACATTGAAATTTGTTGAAGTTGATTGCAAATTTGCAATGCAACTTGCTGCTGAACCTTTAAGCTTCGTTTTTAAAATCCACATTTTATATGTGTCTGAAATATTCTTGGAGACTACCAGATGTTCAAATAGTTCTTTGAACGTTTGCCACTGTGCATATTGAGCACTTGAAGCCTGATTCTTATTTATCCTTACATAGGCTTTTTCTTGTCGTATATAGCTAACACAGGCCCAGATGTAATAATACTGATGAGTTTCTGAAACTCATATTCATGAGCTTCAGTCCACTGAAACCGGACATCGTTATGTGTTAATTCACGTAACTTTGTCGATTGTTTTGATAAGTTACGCATATATGCTGCTAAAAACTTAAGCATGCCTAAAAATCGCATGACATCGCTTTTATTCTCTGGTTTCTTAAGTCCGCGAATTGCCTCGCAATATTTACTATGCGGTTTGATGGTACCTTTTGAAACTATACGGCCCATGAATTTCATTTCCGTTTGGCGATATTGAATTTTATCTGGATTGAATTTTATGCCTTTTTCAACTGCTCGTGCAATAACTTTTGCGAGCGTCTCGTCATGCCGTTCTAAGTCCTCTGCCACAATGGCCATGTCATCAAAATAAATTATGACCCCTGGAATATCGCCGAAATGTTTGACCATTTCTCTTTGAAACATTTCGGGTGCGCAATTTAACCCAAAGGGCACGCGATTGAATTTATAACGGCCAAACGGTGTCATAAATGTCGTTAAGTTCGAACTTGGCTCGTCCAATTCCATTTGCCAAAACCCACTGCTAAGATCGAGAACAGTAAATATACACTTGTTAGCTAACTGACTGGTAACGTCGTCGAAGGTCGGAATCAGAAAATGTTCACGTTTTATGCACTTATTTAATGGTTTTGGATCCAGGCAGACTCGAATATCGTTTTTCTTTTCCACCAGCTGTACATTATGCACCCAGTCCGTAGGATAGTTCACGGGCGATATAACTTTATTGCCCACCATCTCTTCAATCTTACATCTGAAACGCTCTAACAAACTCAATGGAATTCTCTTTTTATAGTGCAAACAAGGAGTGGCCCCATCTTTCAATGCTATTGAAACAGTCCCTGGAAATTTACCTAAACCACTAAAGACAGTAATGTTTTGCTTGATGAAGTCATCCCTATCTTTTGGTAACGGTGTCATTCTAACATTTATTGTATTAATATTGATACGTTTTATTATCTGAAAGTTTACACTAGTTTCTAACCCTAGAATTGGAACATGTGTGTCGTCCACAACGACAAATTCTGCCTTTTGTTCTGTATTCAAATCAGGATCAACGCAATTCAGTATTACTGTACCAATAATGTTAATTTTATTGCCACTGTAATCGTATATTGGATAGTCATCAAATTTATTGTTAACTTTAATTTTAAGTTTAGAAAGGTAATTGATAGGAATGCAATTCACATCGGATCCGGAGTCTATTTTAAATGTAATCGGGATATTCTTTCTTAGTCCACTTGCTTCTTACTAGTCCGTTATTATTCGTATTTATTCTATAAATATGAGTATAATCTACCAATCCACTTATTGATTCTATTTGACAGTTAGGTTTACCTTGTTCGTTCCAGTTATAATAATCTCCCACTGAGTGCACCTGTCCATGTTGTTTGTTGTACGATCCTGGGTTTATCTTCTGTCCGCTGCTTGATGTCTGCTGTCCGCTGCTTGATGTCTTCTTATCCGGGAATTGTGATGCTTGCTGGCTTTTTTTACCACGACACATTTTAACAAAATGGCCCCTTTTGTCACAGCCTCTGCATACTACGTCTTTGGCTTTGCACACATTTAGATGTCCGAGCGAAAATTGTTGCCCACAGTTGTAGCAAAAACGAGTGACTGCATTGACGGATCTTGGAGTTCCTTGGTCCAAAATGGTTTTGTTGGCATTTGCCGCTTCGTACACCTTGCATTTTTGAATTATTTGAGACAGCGGCTCATCCTTTCCGTCAAGCAATTTAAGCTGCAGTGTTTTATCGTATATACCCAGAATGATTCGGTCCCGTAACATGCGGTCATTATAGGATTTACCACACCCACAGTTGAATTCGCAGTAGCGAATTTGGGTACGCAATTCTGTTTCGAACTCAGAAAACGGTTGTTTTTCCTTTCGGGTGATCGTGTTGTATTTAAACGATTCCATAGCCACGTTCTTTTTTGGAATGCAGTACTCGTCGAAGGCGTTGAGCACGTGCGCTAGTGAACGTGCACTCTCACCGCCAGTACCCTCACGGTCAGTATTCGCGGATATATCCATACCTAGCACCTGCTCGGTTGACCCATCATTTGGGAACAGGGTGTTGTATATTTCAACTGCCTTCGGTCCCACCAGCCACAAGAATGTCGCAATTTTCACATCCTTGCTTTCTTTCAGTTTCCCGTTCGCATGCATGTACATGCAAAATGTGCTCCTCCATGTTGGCCAGTCCTTTGGCAGATTGCTGCAATCCAGCTCGGGCGGCAGCCTATTCTCAGCCATAGTGATAATCGAGGTCCGGTTCTGACACCAAGTGATAAGTCAAACAAATTCCGTAGTTTCAGCGTGCTAAAATTTATTGATGTTTTCAGGTCTCTATGCTAGCCGGAAGTGCGTGAGATTATCTTTTCATATCACAAACCGACTTAGAGTTGCTGTGTTAATAATTTCTTGTAATATAATACAACTGTGTTAATATCTTTGATGTAACATAATTCATAAACCTACTTATAGTTGATGTGTTAATAATTTCTTGTACTATAATACAACTGTGTAATACTTAAGGCCTATTCAGACTACATACAATGAGTGTATAACTTAGGGCTTGTACACATTGCTTATTACACAGACACCTCTAGTCTGAGGGATGCATACGTTGCCGCAATAAATCTTGCTACTAGAGCCTCATTATCATTGTTCAAAGTCATATTTGAAAAGTTTTTTATTAATCTTTCCAGATTCNGTGAAGAAAATGTCGGTTGGTCTTTATTCTGACTTGTTAAAGGCTCAGTGTCTGACGCCGTTATCAATTCACTATCATGTCTTATTTCACTACGATTCCCAGGCATGTTATCTGACACAGTGGAAGGAACAATTGGTTCCGGCTCGTTATTTAGCTCAAGCTGTGGTGAAGATGGTAACAAATCATCGAGTTTCCTGCCATTATTTGACCATAATGCCATTCTTTTCCGTTTTTCTTAAAAATTACCCTATCTCCTACTAGTAATTCCGGTAATGTTTTTGCATTGCGATCAAAGTAATGTTTTTGTTTCTCCTTTTTTCTTTTAATTCTTTCCTGTACATTTGATTCGTCAACTGAATTCCTGAACAAAAGTAGTTCTGCTGTTGGGAGCTTTGTTTTTACTAATCTGCCGAAAAATAATTGTGTCGGAGCAAGGCGCATGTCTGCGACTGGGGAATTGTTATATTCCAGGAGATGATATTGAAAGTTATGTTTTTCGTTCGCCTCATAGCAGCGTTTCAACAGATTTTTCGCAATCGCTACTCCTTTTTCAGCCAGTCCGTTGCTTTGGGGGTATCTAGGACTTGAAAATTTAACTACAATATTCGCATCACTTAAAAACTTTTCTATTTCTACCGAATTAAAAGGGTTGTTGTCGCACCGTATCCTTGTTGGATAACCCACCCTCGTAAATATTTGTTTCAGTGTATCAGTTACGCAGCTGGCAGTTTTATTTGCCAGCTTTTCTGCCAGCACAAAGTTAGAGTATGCATCAATTAGGGAAATGTAATATCTACCCGCATATTCAAAAATATCAATCCCCACTGTTTGAAAAGGATATTTAGGAGCGTCGTCTTGACTCAGTGGCTCTTTTGCATTATTGCGCCTGAAGGTTTCACACACAACACACCCCGTAATTAAGTCTTTTATCTGTTTACCCATGTTCGGCCAAAAATACAAAGATCTGGCTTTTGCCAGTGTCTTTTCTATTCCGAGATGTGGCCTGTGTAGCCACTTGCAAACTTGTGGTTTTAATGCCGTGGGAATTATTAATCTATGGTTCTTGAACAACATGTTATTTTCAAAGTGTATTTCTGACTTGTATTTGTGAAATTGTTTGCTTAGTTCAGTCAACTGTTGATATTTGGGCCACCCTTGTTGCGCAAATAGGCACAACTTTTTGTACTCTTCATCTATATGCTTGCAGTATATGTCGTAATTGTATTTTGACATACAAACTTTTCTCGTCAGGGTGTGAATAACTCCCTTTAGTTCGTCAATAGCAGCAGTCTCACGTAGGGCTGCCCTAGAGAGACAGTCAGCAACCAACATTTGCTTACCCGGAGTATAAATTACCTCCATTTTTGGGTACTTAAGTAAAAACATGAACATGGCCTGTAACCTGGGCGTCACCTCATCGATTTCTTTCTTCAAAAGTGATTCTAGCGGCTTGTGATCACTCTGTACTAAAAATTCACGGCCGTAAAGGTAATAATGGAACTTAATACAAGAGAATACTATAGCCAGTAATTCCTTCTCTATTTGTGCCCACTTCTGTTCTACCTTACTCAGCGTTCGAGAAGCATAAGCCACAGGGTGACCTTCTTGGAGTAACACACAACCTAGACCATCTTTTCAAGCGTCCGTTTGAATAACAATAGGCTTTTTCTTGTCGTATATAGCTAACACAGGCCCAGATGTAATAATACTGATGAGTTTCTGAAACTCATATTCATGAGCTTCAGTCCACTGAAACCGGACATCGTTATGTGTTAATTCACGTAACTTTGTCGATTGTTTTGATAAGTTAGGGATATATGCTGCTAAAAACTTAAGCATGCCTAAAAATCGCATGACATCGCTTTTATTCTCTGGTTTCTTAAGTCCGCGAATTGCCTCGCAATATTTACTATGCGGTTTGATGGTACCTTTTGAAACTATACGGCCCATGAATTTCATTTCCGTTTGGCGATATTGAATTTTATCTGGATTGAATTTTATGCCTTTTTCAACTGCTCGTGCAATAACTTTTGCGAGCGTCTCGTCATGCCGTTCTAAGTCCTCTGCCACAATGGCCATGTCATCAAAATAAATTATGACCCCTGGAATATCGCCGAAATGTTTGACCATTTCTCTTTGAAACATTTCGGGTGCGCAATTTAACCCAAAGGGCACGCCATTGAATTTATAACGGCCAAACGGTGTCATAAATGTCGTTAAGTTCGAACTTGGCTCGTCCAATTCCATTTGCCAAAACCCACTGCTAAGATCGAGAACAGTAAATATACACTTGTTAGCTAACTGACTGGTAACGTCGTCGAAGGTCGGAATCAGAAAATGTTCACGTTTTATGCACTTATTTAATGGTTTTGGATCCAGGCAGACTCGAATATCGTTTTGCTTTTCCACCAGCTGTACATTATGCACCCAGTCCGTAGGATAGTTCACGGGCGATATAACTTTATTGCCCACCATCTCTTCAATATTACATCTGAAACGCTCTAACAAACTCAATGGGATTCTGTTTTTATAGTGCAAACAAGGAGTGGCCCCATCTTTCAATGCTATTGAAAGTCCCCGGAAATTTACCTAAACCACTAAAGACAGTAATGTTTTGCTTGATGAAGTCATCCCTATCTTTTGGTAACGGTGTCATTCTAACATTTATTGTATTAATATCGATACGTTTTATTATCTGAAAGTTTACACTAGTTTCTAACCCTAGAATTGGAACATGTGTGTCGTCCACAACGACAAATTCTGCCTTTTGTTCGGTATTCAAATTAGGATCAACGCAACTCAGTATTACTGTACCAATAATGTTAATTTTATTACCACTGTAATCGTATATTGGATAGTCATCAAATTTATTGTTAACTTTAATTTTAAGTTTAGAAAGGTAATTGATAGGAATGCAATTCACATCGGATCCGGAGTCTATTTTAAATGTAATCGGGATATTCTGTATGTAGTATTTCTTAGTCTACTTGCTTCTTTCTAGTCCGTTATTATTCGTATTTATTCTATAAATATGAGTANTACTTGCTTCTTTCTAGTCCGTTATTATTCGTATTTATTCTATAAATATGAGTATAATCTACCAATCCACTTATTGATTCTATTCAGTTAGGTTTACCTTGTTCGTTCCAGTTATAGTAATCTCCCACTGAGTGCACCTGTCCATGTTGTTTGTTGTACGATCCTG